TCACCCCCCAACCCTCACCCCCTGAATCCTTTAGGGAGTTTCCCAGGCTGGGGCAAATGGAGAAACAGGTTTTTCAGGCCTCCATCCTCCTGTCTAGTATCTGGGGGTGGCACACTGGTCCCAGTGTTTGGAGAAACAATCCTTATCTCAAATTTGGGCCACACCTCTGATGTACTGCCAAGAAGGATGTGCAGCCTGGCTTAAGGGCTCCCCAGAAAGGGCAGGAGAGTTGCATGGGGATGGCACCCAGGACCCTCTTTCCAGGCATCAGTCCCTCGCATTAGAGTCAGAGGCCTCACCTGGCCTGGGTACTAAGTGGGGCACTGAGCAACCGTCCTATCACAGGCTTACATTTATTTCCTTTCTCATTTCAAAAGACTCCTATTGGGAGCTAAGCTGTAAAAGGGGAAAAGGTAAACCAACCCAGACAGCCAGGCTCATTGATTCCTGGTGACCCCACTCAGCCCACAGCCTGTTCCCCTCAGTGATCCTCGTTGCTAAGTAAGGTTCTCCCTGGCAACAAGATCCAGGAGTAAGTTTCTCCCTTGTCCTTTGGGGGTCAGTCAGTTAAGGAGTGCATCATCATAACTAACTCCATTGATATTTGGTAACCCCCAAACTAGAGCCTCAATTCCCCGTATTACTCCTTCAGCCCTCCCATCAACAAAAGAGAGTTGGAATTTTCCAGTCAGCTCCAGAGTGGTCAATAGATTTTAATGGCTCACAGAGGAGTGTGTGTCTTCTCACCTCTGGTCTCCTTTGTTCCCTTGCTCCTGTCCCATCTCCTACCCCCACCACCCTCTCCACAGTCCTGGCAAGACCCAGGCCAGAGCGGTGGCTGCGGCAGCCAAGGTGCAGGCTGGGGCCACAGTTCGTACCACAGCGCTGTTGCACAGGTCTCTGACGCAGCAGTCCCTGTGCGGTGTGTGAGTCACATGTCCCACCAACTCTGTTCCCACTTGGTTGCAATGATGGGCTGTCACGCAGGCTGGATGGTGATGAGGCAAAGTCACTGATGCTGAAAGAGAGAATGAGACTGGGATGTTGGCCTCCTGGATAGAGGACTTGCCTTCTGGGCAGAGCAGATGTGATTTCAAGGAGCCCAAAGGGATTCTCTGCCCCCTCCAAAAGCACCCCCCTAAAACCAAGTGATCAGAGTTAACACATTTACACTGTGAGCCCCCTGATGCGATGCACTGAAAAGGACCAACATCACATCACATCAGTGGTATTCTTGCCAAAAGCCCATGACCTCAATCTAATCATGAGAAAATACCAAATAAATCCAAATTAAGGAACATCCTATAAAATAACTTATCAGGACTCTTCTAAAGTGTCAAGGTCATGGAAGACAAAGACTCAGAACTGTCACAGATTGGTGGCGACTAAGACAACATGAGAGTTAAATGCAATGTGGGATTCTGGTTTGAGTCCTGGGTCAGAAACAGGACATGAGTGGAACAACTGACTAAATTGAATAAGGTCTGTAGATTAATTAGTGGTATTGTACCAATGTTATTTTCTGATTTTGATAATTGTATAGTTGACCCTTGAACAGCACAGGTTTAAACTGTGCAGGTCCACTAATATGCAGATTTTTTTTCATTAAATATACAGTTGGCCTACTCTATCCCTGGGTTTCGCATCTGCAGATTCAACCAACCGCAGACTGATGACAGTATTTTCAAACCATGGCTGGGGATCTATGGATGCAGAGGGCCGACTGTATGCATTGTTCTGTGTCATTTTATACAAGGGACTTGAGCATCAGAGGATTTTGGGATCCACAAGCGGGTGAAGGGTGATGTCTTGGAACCAATCCCCCTCAGATACCAAGGGGCGGCTGTGGTTAAGTCTTGGGGGACTTAAAAGTTATATGCGGATTTTCAACCAAATGGGGGTCGGTGTCTCTAATCCCTGAGTTGTTTAAGGGTCAACTGTACTATGGTACATCTTATACAGATACGTACATCTCATATAGATGTTAACATTAGAGGAAGCTGGATAAAAGATATACAGGAATTCTCTGTACTATTTTTACAGCTTTTCTGTCCATCTAAAATGATTTCAAAATAAAAAATTAAGACACACACATACCTCTCTGGTCCTTAACCGATGCATGAAAGTTGAAGTTTGGTTTAATATTTTGGTCCCTGCTTTCAAGGGACAGAGCTTTTTCAACCATGTGTGAGTGAATGGGCTTATGAGATCCTGGAGGGCAGAGAGGAGGGAGACGGCACTCCATGGACAGCAGACAGCCGGCTGCTGAGGGGCTCGGCGCCAGGAGCCAGAAGGGGCTACAGGCTGCTCTGCTCTGCCAGCGGCACCATCTGCCCAGGCCCAGACTCAGCCTGGAAGGGTCTGAAAGCAGGAAAGGGCTGGGGAGAAGAGGGAGAGACCGAGGACTCACGGTTTCCAGGTAACTCGCTCTGCCTCAGGCCCGGTTGGGGTTTGTGCTTCAGGAAGCCACAGGCGGTCACCATCTCTCCCTAGGAGCTGCTGCAGCCTCCACCACTGCAGTCAGAGCACCTCATGCAGCTTCCTGGCAGGAGAGACGAGGAGCAGGACCTGGGCTCTCAGGGAAGACGCTGGCAGAGGTGGACAGGCCTGTGTGAAAGGGACTTTGGCTGCCTTCTTACCCAAGGCAGCCCCCCACAGGGTGTTCAGGGTGCCCGGCAGCAGCCCAATAAGGAGCGAGTTCATTGTGTCTGCCCGCCCAGCCTCCTTGGTGCCGCGCCCTCCCACCCCCTCCCTGGCCCTGCGTTGCCAGCCTTATAGCCCCCTTGCCTTGGACTTTATAGGGCAATAAAAAGGGAGGAAAAAGTCTCCCCCAGCGGGCACCGGCGCCCCAATGGGGACAGGGAGGCGCCCCCATGGGAGAAAGTTCTCAGCATCCACTGGAGTCCCCTAACTCTTCCATCTTCTGTAGTGGTTCTAAAACTGTGACCCCAGAACTCCTGGGAATTCCTAAGACCCTTTCAGAGGGTCCTCAACGGTCTTCCTTTTCTACCACATACCTGTGTGAGGTCAGATTTTCTCATATACTTCAACCAAAACAACGTAGTTCAACAGATGGAACGTAGAAGTAGATATGAAAACCCAGCCATCTTCTTCTATTAAGCCTGACATTAAATAGATTCCCTGAATGTAGAGCTTTGTTGGGAAAGAAGTTATTTTTCACAAAACTGTATTTTGTTTACATGTAGTAGGTTTATTATTTTTTTTAAATGAACCTATTTAAAATGTTTTGATTTCTAATATAGTAAACGTCAGTGTAACTCACACAAAGAAAAGCTCTTTGGGGTCTTCAGTAATTTTTAAGAGTCTGAAGTGGTCCTGAGATAAATAATAAGTTTTAGAAAACTGCTGCTGGATGGATAGCTGTCTCCTCTGTCCCACCCCACCTCCACCCAGTGTTACCGCTCCTGGGACAATTCTGCCCTTGTTCTCCAGATGTGGCTCTCCTCCTCCCCAGACTCTTAAACCCCTGTCTTCCAGACTCTACCACTGCCCCCCAAATCTTATTCCTGCAGCCCTTCCTAGTCTTTATGCCCCGCCCCAGTAGAAACACATCTGTCCCTCTGACCTCAAGCATGACTAATTCTGTCCTCCCAGGTAGTAAAGCTGGGAGGGGCAATTATGTGGTATGATGCTGAGGCTTGGGGAGGGGGGAATCAAAGGGATCTAAAGCTGGGGTGGGGCCCTCCCTTAAGCAGCTGATTTTGTGTGGGTGG